CACGTACCCGACTGTGTTGAGGTACTCGTAGAATTCCGGCTTGGTGGGGTCGGTGCACAGCTTGGTCATGTACCAGCGCAGGAACATGCGGCGACGCTGGATGTACGGGCTGTCGAAGGTGGGATAGTTGGCGACTTCATCCTCGGAGGCGGTGCTGCGCGTGCGAAAGACCCGCGCCGTGATATCATTCTCCAGGAGCTTGACGTAGACGCGGTCGATCAGGGCAGGCGCCAGCGCCTTGATATACTTGGACCCTTTGTTCAGAGCGGCGACATCGTCTTGATTGTGGCCGGGATTAGCTGGGGCTCGATCCCCGATCTGCTGGACGGGATGGACTGACCGGCGCTGAACTCTAGGAACTTCTGCAGATAATGTACGCGGGCTTGGAGATCGGTGTAGAGGGCTTTCCGTTCGACATGTTGGGGTTCGACTGGTGGCTTTGCGTGGTAAAGGGGCATGGCTATAGATGATGTACTGTATGTAGAAAGACAATCTACTCAATAGGTTAGGAAAAGAAACGAAAAGGCATTTAATGCTCAACACAGCAAAGGCGATCGACCTTGCTATTTACGATGAACGAGGCCACACGAATCTCGCTCGATTTTAATTTTCTCACTGGGAGAATTCTTTTTCTTTTTCTTTTATTTTATTTTATTTTGTTTTATTTTTTATTTTTTTTTCGTTTTTCGGTCCTTGCAGTAGTGAGTGTAGCCTTGTAGTGGATCAACCCTAGAATGTGATGTGTAAGTGAATCCATCTCTCAATCCACTTACTTGCCAGGCTCCCACCAAAAGGATGAACGGGGAGATAATAGACGCATCCGACACTTGGATGACATCTGTCACTTGTACGGCTGGCAATTCGCCGTGGGTCTGAATCTTATCCACTCAATAGCCGTCATTTTGTTTCCCCCTTTCTAATCTTACCGCTCCTTCGCGATCTCAGCGATATGTTAAGTTTCAACGCCTGTCGAATCGTATCCACCCCTCAGTGGGTGCGGCCAAATGGGACATAGATGTGGCTTAGACAACTTGGATCGCCGCTGAAAGAGATTTCCTGGTCGACTTTTGAGGTCCGGCAACCGCCCGACGTTACGATGGGGGGATTGTGGATGCAATTCGACACGCCCGGCGTTTGCCGTGAGAAGCTCCACCGTTCGAAGCTGGGCCGGCCAGTCCGAGCATCCTATGCAACAGCAACATTGTGAAGCAAGCTAAGCTAAAGCTTTCGAGAACACCGCGCCCAATGGTTCGATCGGCATTTGCTAGAGGAATGCCCCTCTAAAAGCAAAAGTGAGGCGGTGGTGGAGTGCACCGTTTTTTTTTTTTTTTTTTTTTGCCGAACGGACAGACTGCTGCTGCTTCTCCGCCGCCTCATATAAACTGACTACCCCTTTTTCTTGTTTGAGACTCCTTTCCAATCACTGATTCTATGAATATGTTGTATGGAAACCAGAGGAAAAGGAATCAAGGCATGGACCTCCAGTGCTAGGGGCAGCCATTCTCGTGATGGGGAGCGGGAAAGTCTTGATTCAGTCAATAGTTATTCTGTTCTGTTCTACTTTCACCACAGTTTAGCACCTTCAATTTCTCCCCTTCCAGCTGATCCTCAAACCGTGTTTTCATCTGAATTAAATTAGAGACTGTCATACTTCAGAATTCAAGCTATGTATTTCGCGGCACTCCTCAATATTCCCACTCCAGGGACATTGGGCCAACTACGCGGCAGGGTACCGCCAAAGCTGTGGGGACTGACAAGTGTTTCTTCATTCTCAAACTGGTACCGATCTGTAAGCAAGTCCATCTCATCAAGCAGAACAATCTTGGTGCCCTTCCAAAATTTCCAGCCCAGGAACATGGCTGCCATGACCGGGATCTCAACATAGTAAGACACGAAACTGACCGCGTCGAACCGTGGGCTAAAGCAAGACCAACCCTGGATAAGGACGAGGAAGATGTTCAGTGCGACGGCCAGCGCCGGACCAACGGGATACGTGAAGTTCTTGAACGGAAGCAAATGCTCAAGCTTTTGGCGTCGAATGGCAGCACGGAATCGGAGTGAAGCGATACAGATGCATGTCCAGGAAATCTGATTGGATACCCCGACAAGATTCTGTAACCAGGACCACAGTTGACCAGCGCCGGCTTTACTGGCACCGAAGCATAGCGCGCTGATGGCCGTAGTGGTCAGCACTGCGACCCAAGGAACGTGGAAGCGGTTCGTGTGGCTCAATTGTCGAGGCGCGTATCCCTCCATGGCCAAGGTATACAGGAGACGGGATCCTGCGAAGAGAGCGTGATTGGCAGCTGAGATTGCGCTTGTCATGACCACAGCATTGACGAAGCTGCCTGCCACCGCACTGCCGGCTTCGGCGAAAACGATGGTGAAGGGGCTGGTTGAGCTATCTGCACGGGAGCTAGCGAGACCGGGATAATCGTATGGCACATCAAACCCAATGATCGCGATTGAGACGACATAAAACACAACAATGCGCCAAAAGACGTTCCGAATCACACCAGGATAGGTGCGCGCTGGATCGCGGGTCTCGCCGGCAGTCATCGCAACGTTTTCCGTGCCGCCGCTAGCGAAGCGTTAGTAACCACCAGATGGCACTGCGCTCAGGACCATTAGCTCTGACGTACTATGCGAATGAGGCTGTCACGAAAACAGATGCCATGCCCCCGATTCCCCCGACGAAGGGGGCATCGCCAACGTAGAAGTATTTGTCGCCGAGATACGTATGCTCGGTGTTGGCGCCACAATTCACGACAATGCCAACTATTATAAAGGCCTAAGTTGCGTAAGGACTACATCATACGTGGCTTATTGTCAACTGCAGACTTACTATAATCGTCATGACTTTCAGTAGGCAGAGCCAGTACTCGGCCTAGAGGGTGTCGTCAGCTGGTCTCTCTTGATATCTGGTCGGAATCAGGTTATTTACCTCTCCGAAGATTCTCACAGAGCATAAATTCAGCCCAAGCACAAAGACAAGGCAGATAAGGCTCAGCACCCAACCGGGAAATTTGTCTGTCCAGTATTGCAGTAAAACTTGCAATGCGATGACATCCGAGGCAGTGGAGATTGCATCATTGGCCCAGTAATTCCATGTCAGCGCAAACCCCAGACCTTCATCCACAAACCGCCTTTTCTGGTATCAGATAAGGCCCGGAAACCACTGGCAGGGGGTTTCACTTACCCTGCAAATGTACAGAATGAGCCGCTAACAGGAATAAAAGCCACCATCTCCCCCAAGCTTAGCATCGTCAGAAAGACAATAGCACCACAAATCGTATAGGCCAGAAGCATTGAGCCCGGCCCTCCGGTTGCTAATGCCCTGCCAGTCCCAAGATACAGTCCTGTTCCGATTGTACCACCGATAGCGATCATCTGCACTTGGCGAGGCGACAGCTTACGAGCAAGGTTATTGGGGCTGATACTCTCTGATGTTGTACCGGGGACAACTGGGGAGCTGGTCGACCGAGTCGCAGCCGGCTGTTTCTCCGAATCATGGTCTGGCATTCTGAGTAGCGGAGAGGGAGAGGGATAGAATTAGTAGACTTTGAAGAAATGCTATCCATTCTGGCGGGCAACAGGCCTGATTCAGGACCCCTGGCACTTGCTTTATGAAAGATTCGGGGCAAGGTGTCTAAAGTTGAAGCTTCCAATACGATATGGTGTCATCTGGAGCACAGATGAGCACTGCAGAGACAAAATATACTTGCGAAGTAGTATGGACTTTGTGAACGCTAGACCGTGCGTTATTGGAGCAGACCTTGACGCAGAACGTAACCCGAATCTTTGCAAACGAGCATCACTCCGGGCTGTTACTCCGGTACCTGAGCACGTCGATCTGAAAGACCCACAAGGCCCCGTCTGCGAATTGAGCTTAGAGCTTAAGTAACCAGTAAAACGTCGATTAGATGAGCAATTCTCCTTCGAGTTCACGTCAGGCATAGATTGTGCTCGAACACGCCGAAGCACCTTCGGCGTAATGAATTATTAACGAGAGTCCTTGAATATCGGGTTGGAAGAGAAGATGTATTTATTGGACAGAGGTTGAGACCTTACTACAACCTCCATTCCCGACTACCCACCAATCACTTAACAATGGCTTACGTTGTGAATCGCACCGGGTCGGCGTCAGATAGTCTGCTACATGTTCGTGGACAGCCACGCTCGCCTGTGTCAGGCGAAGTCCCCACGGACTATGAATCTCAGATTCTGCTCTCGCTGTTAAATCTACATCAGGATCTACTAGCAGCCGGTAGCTGCATCGCAGGAATCCGTCAGCTGACGTTGTACATTGTAAACTATAATTCTCAATGCCATCAACACAACCGACACCTCCGGCGCTTCCTACGCTCCCACAGTCCTGTCGTAAACATCATCACTCTCCCCCACCTCGAAGAACCGACATGGCAATTCGCCATCGATTGCGAGGCTGCCATCCGTGCTCCCACTCCTGCCCCTACCCCACGGTCACCCTCTCTCGAACAGAAGATATGGGATGTTATTATCGTCGGCGCTGGTCTTGCCGGCTTAACAGCCGCGGATCAACTTAGCAAAGCCGGGCTCTCATGCCTTGTTGTCGAGGCCCGTGACCGCGTGGGAGGCCGCACATGGAGTATTCCGGTACCAAATGGGAGAGGCAGCATGGATATCGGTGCTTCCTGGTTGAACGATACCAACCAAAGCCAGATTTCCCAACTGGCCAAGCGTCTTGGAGTCGATTTCACAGTGCAGAATACAACTGGTAACTGCATAGCGCAGGATGAGACGGGTGAGAACCACGTCTTCGAATATGGCGGACTGCCCGTGAGATACCATTCCCCCAGTTCATTCACTCCTAGCATCGGAGCCTCTTAGACTAATCAATGCCTAGTTCAACATCAATGTCCAAAAGCACCTCAGTGAGATCCGAGACATCGTTGAAGCAGAATGCCAGCAACTGGACATCACAAAACCGCGAAATCACACTCTTGATGCGATGACCTTCCTTGCCTACCTCCGTAGCCGCAACGCAAGCGAAGCTGCCATTGCCGTTGCTTCAATTTGGTCCCGTGCCATGCTAGGCCAAGAGCCCCAGGATATCTCGGCTCTGTTTTTCCTTCACCACTGCAAGGCTGGTGGTGGACTTCTTCAAATGCGATCCGACCGTATTGGTGGAGGCCAGTATCTTCGCATTCGCCAAGGAGCTCAGTCCATCGCTCAGGGTCTACGAGCATTACTCCCCTCACAAAACATCATCCTTTCTTCTCCTGTCATAGCAATAGACCAATCACTTCCTGATCTCGTCGTTGTCCAGACCCCCGATCAAACACTCCGAGCGTCGAAAGTTATCTCCACAGTGCCTAGCCCGGTCATTCGCACTATTTCATTCACCCCTGCACTACCGGCACGCAGGCGATTATTGGTAAACTCCTACACTTACGGCTATTTCACGAAGGCGATGCTAGTTTTCAAGCATCCCTTCTGGGTCGAGAAGGGATTCTGCGGACTTGCCCAGTCTTTCACAGGTCCAGCCTCTATTATTCGGGACTGCAGTGTTCCTGAGGACGGTTGTTGGATCCTGACCTGCTTCCTGTCTGGTGACCTTGGTCGCGCTTGGTCGCAGCTGAGCGAGACGGCTCAGATAAAATCTCTGCTAGACCAGGTGGGGCAGCTATATAGCGACAGGGAACGCGTTTGCAATGAGTACATTACTACTGTCTGGCATGACTGGACCACAGAGCAATACTCTGGCTTTGGCTGTCCCTGTCCTTCTTTGCCTCCCGGCGTTTTGTCTGCCGTGGGAGACGTCGTGCGCGAGCCATTCTTGAATGTTCACTTCTCCGGCACGGAAACTGCTATCGAGTGGAAAGGCTTCATGGAAGGTGCGGTCCGTAGTGGTGAACGAGCTGCGACCGAGGTGTCGAAACTGTTGCTGCTCCATTCTTAATTTGCTATATATACTTCAAGATATTGCACCGTTTAGTCTGGTTTGTTTTCTCTTTTCTTTTTTTTTCTTTTTCTTTTTCTTTTTTTTTTTTTTTTT